CAATGTTCTTTATAACATCTCTAGTAAGGGTAAATAATATTATTGCTCCTATTTGTCACATCACATTTTTCATATTTCCACAACAGAATTCTTATACTTATTATTGATTCATAACAAGAAGAAAGATATTTTCATATTTAGTGCTTTTCTTCTACAAAAACTCTAGTTATATTTTTAAATTATTATTACTCTATCAAAATATTGAAAATACAAAAAATATTTAAATTTTAATTACTGCAAAAATCATATTTAGTTTAGATAATTATCTCTTTATTAAAAATAGAAAGTTTGTTGTTCAATAGTGCATATTGTGTATTCTCCTTATGGGTTCGATATTCAAGTCTTAATCAAAAAGTCCTATACTACTTGATAACGATACGTATACTTGCGTAGTATCCCAATATATATAAATTAAAAGTTAAATTTTTATTTTTTTTTCAGGATCAAGTTTTTGGTTTTGTTGCAAAGTAAGGAAATATAAGTGAAATATAATCTGAATTATTATTGTACTATGCATTGAACAATATCCAGGGATCGTGTAGCACTGGTATTTTGTTGCTAGTTTGATGGTATTGGATTCTAAGTGGTATTGAATTGTATTTTTTGTAATATGTTTATATTATGGTGGTATTTTGGATGTCCTATGGTTGTACTATGGTGGTATATGGTTGTACTAAAGTGGTATTTTGGTGGATTTTGGGTTTTAATGTGTTAATATTATGGTGATACTATGAATTTTGGTGGATTTTGGGTTTTAATGTGTTAATATTGTGGTGATACTGTCAATATGATGATATTATGGTATTCATGATTGTATAGTGACAAATACTTGCACATAATTTTTATATGGATTATTCTCCATAGGAAAAACACGAATATTATATTTTCTAATTTTTTTAAACACATCGAACAAGTTAACCTCCCACAGATAAATGTGTTGATCTACAATGATAGTCATGAATATATATAATTATAATGGGATACTTGGAGATAATAAATTGAACAAATGAGACAAATGAAATAATTCACTTCTCGATTACATGCGATTCACACAAGCAAATAAGTTAATCACTTGAAAATAAATACAATTGACTTATTTTTTTAATTTACCGTCTTGGTTTTTTCTTATTTTATTTGCTTTTTTTTTTCTTCCTTTGTTCATTTACTGCTAGCGTAAACATTAAATATTATATATTGAACAATTACATTAGTTTAGATGATTTTACAACTCAAACCTCATTTGAAACATATCGAACAAATGACCTTGTTTTGTTTATTTGTAACAATGTAGGTGGAATCCTAAGCTCGTATTAGGCCGCACTTCCTAATTTCAGTGGAAAAGACCTTAAACTTTTGGTTGGGCTTGACAGTTCCAGTGTTAAAAAGACCTTAAACCCTTGGCCACACTTCATACAAGAGAAACCCTAGCTAACAAAATCGCATAAGAAATTCTAGTGCATAAAAAATGGAAATTATGTTGGTGTACATGCTTTTGCTTTTGATGCAACATGCAATCTTCAGTCTGGGGTCGCGAGAAAGATAATATTTTCATATATTTTCTTTATTTGCAAAATCGGTTTCCACCTCTTTACAAATGACTCCATATTATTGGAGTTCAAACACAAAACAATATTCAGACTCCGAATGCAATATAATTGGAGCTAAATGTAATATAATTGAGTCCAGACTCTGGATGCAAAATTATTGGAGTTTAGAAGCAAAACTGCACCGGACTCTACATGCAAAATGACTTCATATTATATGAGAAATTATTAGAGATTTATGTGTCATAACACAAGATAAGTTTTGGAGTAACAATCCCTTTATTCATTGAGTTAGGTATTAGCCACCAATAATTGACCGAGCGGTGCGTAGGTATGATCGATTGGATTGTTTAAACCATTGGAGACCCGTCCATCCATTTTTTGGTTCTTTCCTCCTATCCAAATCTTCTAGAAAGATGATAGAAATGAGTTTTTTTTAGCACAAACTCTTTGGCGTGCTCCTTATTAGTAGTGTCTTTGCAATGTTTTTCTCCTCATTGGCGTAGCTTCTTGGTGTTGGTAACATGCTCATGCTCACAACACCTTTTAGAATGTTGAATTTAGACTTTTTTATGAAGCATGACCAAGGATTAGAGTGGTAGAAGCCTTAAGGGAGAAGTTGAGAGACACAAAGAAGAAAAAAGATTAGAAAGAGCACACACAGACTTGCCTCGTATGGGGCAAACTGGGGATTCCCAGGCCTCTAACCTACTTTATATGTTATAGTGGGGGTTACAAGAGAGAAGAAGTGAGTGTTCCCCCTGCAGAGTAAGGGAGAGAGAGAGAGAGAGAGAGAGAGAGAGAGAGACGCCATTAATACCTGCTATGAACCCTTGTTTAAAGGAGATCTAGGGCCAACTGTGGAAGCCAACTTATTTGCCCTTACTTTAATAAGGGACTTTATTGGATATTATTATCTTTTGTTGTGCCTTTTCATATTGATAACTCTTTGCAATGTTTTTCTCCTCATTGGCGTAGCTTCTTGGTGTTGGTAACATGCTCCATGCTCACAACACCTTTTAGAATGTTGAATTTAGACTTTCTTATGAAGCATGACCAAGGATTAGAGTGGTAGAAGCCTTAAGGGAGAAGTTGAGAGACACAAAGAAGAAAAAAGATTAGAAAGAGCACACACAGACTTGCCTCGTATGGGGCAAACTGGGGATTCCCAGGCCTCTAACCTACTTTATATGTTATAGTGGGGGTTACAAGAGAGAAGAAGTGAGTGTTCCCCCTGCAGAGTAAGAGAGAGAGAGAGAGAGAGACGCCATTAATACCTGCTATGAACCCTTGTTTAAAGGAGATCTAGGGCCAACTGTGGAAGCCAACTTATTTGCCCTTACTTTAATAAGGGACTTTATTGGATATTATTATCTTTTGTTGTGCCTTTTCATATTGATAACTCATCTTGATACTTTTTCGTGTGGCTAGATTTTCCTCAGGTCGGTCGACTGAGTTGGTGTCGGTCAACTATTTTATCAGACCGATCGACTCTCTGTATGGGATAATTGTCAACTTCGAGTGTGATAACCGTTCAACATTAAGGTGGCTAGTTGGCTCGCCTCATAATCATTCCTTGGTGATTGTAATTGGTCTTTTAGAGAGCTATCGAGAGAGTCTCACTCTGATACTTGTGAACTTGCTTGGAGGGTTTTACCTTTGTTCGGTTGTTGGCATGAATACCTGTCTCTTGTTGGCTTGGGTGACCCTTTGGTTGTCGAACTAGCCTTCAGTCGATCGACAGTCTTTTAGTCGATTGCCATCCCTTTGTTTGGTTGGCCCTTCATCGGCTGGTGGTCTTTAGTCAGTCGGATTCATAATGCCTGGTTAGATTCATAATACCTTATGACTTTTCATCTGTGATCTAGACCATTAGATTATCTCGAGAATCGTGAAGATCATTTTGGGTATACAAATACATATTATCATATTAAAAAAAGATGTTTGTATGCATAATACACCATTTAATATTAACTTATATTATTTATATAACTTTGAAATTTATAAATCATAGAAAAATAAGAAAATATAAGTGTTAGATCTATAATTGCATTGCACTTACATGAATATAATTCTCCCAAAATAAAATTGCCTTATACTCTTAAATTAATACGATTTTTTTTATATATAAGCAAGCTATCTTGCATCAATCTATAAGGAGAAATTTGAAATATAAAAATGTGTTAACTTTATTTTTAATTATGGGTTACGATAAATTATGCGAAAATTTATCACTTTAATCGATGAATAATGACAACTTCTAATTTACTTTATTTATTTTATAATGGTGGACTTTTTTGTTTTTCTCTCTGTTCCGGATCGTTCTTCGTCGAATCATTTATAGTAACCTCTTCCATTTCGTCATCTGGAGGCATGCAATCTCTATACTTCAAAAAAACATAGCAGACGTCTCCGACTTCACCAACTCCTCTTCTTCCCGTCTTCAACAGCTCCCCAACCCTAGCCCCAATCCGTTTGAAGCCGTTTTCACCTCTTAAAGGGATGCTTAAAACCCGATTCTCAGCCCCATCTCTCGTTCTCATCCTCTTATCCATCTTCTCCTCCTCAATCCTCACGTTCTCATCCACCACAAGCCTCGGAATCGACGCCTTCTTTTTTGCGTCAGCCCCATCTCTCGTTCTCATCCTCTTATCCATCATCTCCTCCTCAATCCTCACGTTCTCATCTACCACAAGCCTCGGAATCGATGGCTTCTTTTTTGCTCTCACGTTCTCATCCACCACAAGCCTCGGAATCGACGCCTTCTTTTTTGCGCAGTACAAACGCGACCCACTCGCCGTCAACGACTCCTTCACTTTCCTTCCAACGTCCATCAAGAAATCCCTGTCTGTCTCCGCCCCTTCTTCCAACCCCAAATCCCTAATTTCCCAGCTACTCGCCTTCAAGATCTCTATCCCTGTTTTTGTCAAGCTCGTCGGTCCCTTCTCGGCCTCCTCGCTTTCTCTGCTCCAATCCTACGCGTCCGCCGCGCTCTCCTCCGCCCAATTCCAGGTTATCGGCTCCAATTCGCACCACCTTGCCATCTCCCACTCACTGCACCTTGAAGCTACGCACTCCCATCTCGAGTTTGAGATATCCGCCGCCATCCGCTCCCACATCGATTCGTCCACGGTTCCGTCACACCTCTCCGTCCTGAATCCTGTTCCGTACTCTGTTGTGGATCGGATTGTCCGTCGTGATTTTGAGAAGGAGTCGTCCAACTCGGCCCCGGGATTCTACATCTATTTGTTGAATCTCGATCAACAGTCAAAGAGATACGCCTACTTCTATGATGCGGAGGGTTCTTCTCCGCCGGTTTCTAACTGTCTGGGAACGATCTGGACTGGCAAGGAACGGTACATGTGGATAGACCTCGCAGCCGGGCCAGTAGACTATGGCCCAGCGCTGTCCGGCGAAGGTTTACTTCCCCGGGGTGAGTTTCATCCTTTGGCCTCTCTTCATAAGCGTCATAGATCGGAAAAGCTCTTGCTTGCTGACCTTGCCTCGCTCGTGCTAAGCGCTTACCAGACTCTATTGGTTCCCTCTTTAAGAATCCCCCTCTTCTTGGAGACCATGCTTCTAGTCCAATTCATTCATATCCATGGATCTGATGATCGGGATCCAGCTGGTCTTGACTGGGTTTTCATTGAACAAACACTTAGAGAGGGCGACTTATCATTCAAGGATCAAACTTTACTGTTCAAATCATATACTGTGAAATACTCAGAATGCCCAATCTGTTCGTTTGCAATTGCCAAATCAATGAACTCTTACACATCAAGGTTTCTCTTTGAGAATTATACTCTGATTGTGACCGAGTATTTAGACTCAAAAGTGCTGAATAAGGTGCTAGCAGGATCCATTGCTGATATTCATAGAGCGGCAGGGATAACCGATGATGTGTACGGGAAGGTGCTCCCTGTGTTTGTCTTTGATTTGGATTATGACAAGATCACCTTGCTCGACCGATTCCACCAAGCTGTTGCATTTAGGGACATGGTGATTGCTGTGAGGACAAGGAACGTTGAGACGGTAAGTTATTACAGCTGTAATGGGAGGCATATGTTCACACATACTCGTAACTTGAATCGTGCTATTGTGGGTTCAGTTCTTCAAAGTATGTGGGGAGTTACACCAACTCATCTTACATGGAGCCCAGAGCATAATAAAACGATTGTAGACTACACTTGGAGTGTTGGACGGACTCCATTTGGTCCCTTCTCAGAGTTATGCTCAATTTCATTTGTCCAAAGGGATGCAGCTAGAAGAAATGTTCTCCTTGTCAGTTTAAATTATACAATCACTAGTTTGATTGATTTGTTGGAGTCAGTGGCAACTTATGGAGGTGATAAGAAGCTTCTCAAGCATAGTAGGTATGTGGAATTTGTGCAGAGGTGGAATTTGCTCAAATATAAGCTGGAAAAGTTTCTTTCTGCAATGTCACAGCTGGATTATGACAAGGCCATTTTTTTCCTGAGGTCTTCTGATCTTGATCTCTATGGTTTGCACACTGTAATTTACCAGGCAACTCAGGAGCTTGATGCGTCACTTGTTTGTTTCAAAGATCCGTCATTCCCCTTGATTTCTGCCTTTGTTGCTGTAGGAATTTTGTTTGGATTATTCTATGTTTATGTCAAGAGAGAGAAGCTTTTTAGGAACAAGAGAAAACAATTTTAGTCTTTGATTTTGTCTTAATTCAGGAGCCTCTTTTGGGGCAGCTTCGCTTCTTTAAATACATGTAAACAGCATCAACAGTTGAGGAGTTGCTATTTGATGGGTAAGGAGAGAAAATAGTTCAAATTTTTGCATCAGATCCATGTTTGCCGTCCTGAGATTTTTATTTCATGCTAATAACATAAGCTACTTAACGTATACTTGATCGTGTTTTATTCGTGGATTCAGTCTAATCAAGCTGTCTAGGAAGCGCAGCACAGTTCTTGCTGTGAATTGGGAAAATATCCCGTCCATGTGTCCGGTGTTTAATGAAATCTCGTCACTTATCACGTGTAAACGACGTACCCACTGAAGATAAAATGAAAACCTCTATATTTTAATGTATGACCCAGCCCAATGCAGCCCATTTCTTCGAAAACAAAATTCTTCGTGTCGAATAAATCTTCATTTTCTTCTCACGCCATTGGGTAGGGTTCCACATGAAAACCTCTATATTTTAATGTATGACCCAGCCCGATGCAGCCCATTTCTTCGAAAACAAAATTCTTCATGTGGAATAAATCTTTATTTTCTTCTCACGCCATTGGGTAGGGTTCCACAGAGCGATTTTCTCAGTCTCTCTCTCTCAATAGGCAAGAAATATTGATGATGAAATCTGTAAAAAACGGAAACTGAAAAATAATGATGAGAGGTTTGAAATGGAGCTAATGAATTTTGAAAATAAAGAGAGAAGTTTAAAACAGAGGTGAGTATAGATGTGTTTGAAATGTCATTAATTTATGTTGCTATTGTGGTGTTTTTGTGATGTTATTAAAGTATTTTTGTGGTGTTATTGAGGTATTTTTTTGGTATTTTTTTGATAATATTGAGGTGTTATTGCCGTGTTTTTTGAGTTATATTGTGGCGGTTCTATGGTATTATTTTTTATTGGCTTTATTATTATTTTTTGTGGTGTTATTAAGGTGTTTTCAGATGTTATTGAGGTTTTATTATGTTATTATTTTACTAGTATTGTGGCAGCTCTGTGGTGATATTCAACTGATGTTATTGAAGTCCTATTATGATATTATTTCGGTATTATTGTGGTGTTATTCATGTGTTATTGAGTTATTATTGCGGTTCTTTTATGATGTTATTGAGATGTTATTATGGTATTATTATGTTGTTATTGCAGTATTTTGATTTTATTATTTTATCCATATTATGGTGTTATTTGACTGGTATTGTAGAGGTCGGTGGTGTTATTAGACTAGTGTTATTATAGTGCTATTGTTATATTATTATGGTGTTATTTAGATGTTTTTGAGGTTTTATTGTAGTGTTATCCGCCTATTGTTATTGGAGTCCTATTATGGTATTATTTCAGTATTATTGCAGTGTTATTCAGCTGTTATTGAGGTCTTATTGTCGTTCTTTTGTGTTGTTCTTGAGGTATTTTTGCGGCATTTTTGTCATGTTATTAAGATATTATTGCGATATTATTATGGTGTTGCTGCAGTATTTGGTGTGATTTTGTCGATATTATGACGTTATTTTAGTGGTATTATGTCAGTTTTGTGGTGTTATTAGATTGATGTTATTATGATGCTATTGTTGTATTATTGTGCTATATTCGTGTGTTTTTGAGATTTTTTATGGTATTATTCGACTGGTATTATTGGAGTCCTATTATGATGTTATTTCAGTATTATTGAGGTGTTATTGAGGTTTTATTGTGATTATTTTATGATGCTATGGAGGTATTGTTATGGTGTTATTGCGATATTTTTTAGTGTTATTTTGTCCATATAGTGGTGTTATTTAAGTGGTATTGTGGCGATTCTGTGGTATTATTAGACTAGTGTTATTATGATATTATTGTTGTATTATTGTGGTGTTATTGAAGTATTTTTTGAGGTTTTATTGTGGTGGTATTTGACTATTGTTATTGGAGTCCTATTATGATGTTATTTTGGTATTATTACGGTGTTATTCAGGTGTTATTAAGGTGTTATTGCGGTTCTTTTATGGTGTTATTAATGTATTTTTATAGTGTTAATGAGGTATTATCACAGTATTATTACAATATTATTACGATATTTTGTCCATATTATGTTGTTGTTTGATCTGTATTGTGGCGGTTTTGTGGCATTATTAGACTAGTGTTATTATGGTGGTGTTGTGGTATTATTGTGGTGTTATTCATGTGTTTTTGAGGTTTTATTGTGATGTTATTCAACTGGTGTTTTTGTAATTTTTTTTTTGTTTTCATGTCACAAAAGAATACATTATATTTCATGAACAATGCATCTTGATATCTGTGGTACTAAATGTTTTTCCGTTATTATTAAATTTATTTACGTTGGTAGAGATTTGTGCAAGAGAATTTAAAAAAATGGAGAGTTATCAATTCCAAGACAAAATACCACATAAAAGCTAAATCCTAATTTAAAACCTATCCCACCCCTTTAATATTAATAGATGAGAGTTCAATGAAATATAAGGGTGCAATTCACAAGAAAAGATTCCAAGTAACCTAAAGATTGTATATAAGACAAAAAATTATAGCAATATTCTCCTGAAGATTAATCATAATTAGTTATTTTTATGCATAACATATTTACTTATAAAAAATGGCTGATAACAAATCTTTAAAAACCCCAATAAAAAATTCATGCAATTGCATTTTATTGTTAAACAAACATTATTTTTCTCACATAATAAATTTCACAAGAGAAAAAAAAATGTATAAAGAGTGAGTGTACTTGTACAACTAAAAAAGGTTATCAACAAAATATCAACTATGCAACAAAAGCTTATATCTAACATGATTCATCACAAACCCATAGTAACATGAACGTTTATTTAATAACGATATTAAATCATTAAGTTTTTTTCTTCTATCTTTTCATATTACCATTCTCATATTTGTAAAAACACTTCATTTCATGCCATATATTAGTAATCATGCATTACCTTGGATTCAATAAATACCTAAAAATTAGAAGCATTCATATTTGATGATGTGGAAGACAATGTCAAATTTTAAGATTTATTAAAATAATTGATAATTTACTTTAATTGGTAAAATGCAGATGAATATCAAAGTACTACCTATGCAAATTTAAGATCCATAGAAAAAACAAAAATTACATTAGACTGAAATTTTTGAAAGAAAACAAAGCCTTATTATAAAACTCTAATAAAGGGTAGATATGCAAAAAATTTGAAATCTAAATACATTTCAATGGAGTATAAAATATATCTAGTCCTCTCGCCCTCTCGCCCTCTCGCCAATTAGAAAATTTGTCTACTTTTGATAAATGAGATTTAAAGAGTTTAAGCTTAGCATGAGTGATGCTTATCATCTAGTTTAATCTGATGTTGTTTTTCTTTTGTGTTGTTTGGCAAGCCTGGAAATATTTCTAATGATCGAGTTGCAAATAAAATTCGCCGCACTGTTGTACACAATGAAAAAGAAGCATATGAGCTATATTGTGTATGCTCATCATATTGGATTCACATTTTGAAAGGACCATAGTAGTCTTTTGCAGAATTTGAGGAATATTAAGACAAAAGTCTTTTTATATGGTAAAATTGATTTTAAAAAAGATTTGAAGTTCACCAACATAGTGAAGTTAAAAAAAGGGGACACAAGGACTGATTGTCCAACAATGATTCAATATGCAGTTGATGTTCAGGGCAACGAGATAGTTAAAAAAAATTATAAAAACTCATAACCACTCCTTAGTGAATCCCGATAATAAGCATATTTTGCATTCCAATAGAAAGATAAGTGAACTCAATGTAGATGTGGTCAGATCTATGACAGAATCAGGGATAAGAGCTACGGATGCACCTAACTTTCTTTCTACGGAAGTTGGGAGAGTGAAGAATCTTGAATGTATGAAGAGAGATTCCTTCAATTTCATTCAAGAAGAGAAAAGATCTAGAACATAAAATGGCGACACTAAGTCACTATTCCAATTGTTCATGGAGATACATTCATAGGATGGTATGTTTGCATGAGACTTTCAAATTGATGAGAGCAGTATGTTGATGAGCTTTTTTGGAGTGACAACAAGTCCAGGCTTGATTATGAATACTTTGGAGATGTCATTATTTTTTATACAAGTTATATACTGATTAAATATAATTTATGTTGTGTTCCTTTTGTTGGTTTTATAGACTGAATAAATATAATTTATGTTGTGTTCCTTTTGTTGGTGTGAATCACCATTGGAAAAATGTTCACTTAGGAGTTGAGTTTTATCATATGCGATGATTAATTCATTTAAATGGCTATTTAAAATATTTATTTATATCATGGATGACAAACATCCAATTGAAATCTTTACTGATCAGGATCAAGCAATGGAAAGAGCTATAGAAGATTCTCTGCCACATACATGACATAGATTAGTTCAGTGGCATATCTACAAAAAATATCCTTCAAAAATCCATTATGGAGTGGGTAATAAGAATCCCAACAACCTTTTCTACTAATGTATGAGCAAGTTCTACTCCAAAAAGGAGTTTAAACATATTTGGGCTATGATGATTGAGAAAGAAAATCTACATGACAACTTTTGGCTAGATGATATGTACAACATTAGATATAAGTGGTCAAAAACCTATAATAAAGAAATAATTGGAATGAAAATCTTATCAACATAAAAAACAAGTCCACAAATAATATTTATCATGGTGTCTCAAAGCCAACAAACTCTATTATCAATTTTTTTTAGGCCTTGAAAACAAGTTGGAATCAGTAAAAAAATTAGCAGTCAATGTTGATGAGATATTAAGTGGGATAACACCTCAGTCAAAACAAAAATTGAGAAAAAAATAATCAAGAAAGAATGCAATTTAAATGACCTAGTGAAAATGCACCCAAAGGAAATATCTAATTCCAAATTAAAAGGGTATTGAGAGAAAAATAAGAGCAAAAAGTATATATTTGGTTATTCAAAGTCAATTTTGTTATATGTACAATTATGTTTCTCTAACAAAAACCATGGTATACAAGAGAGGGAAAGAAGCTTCATCTAGGTAAGAACCAGCCCCATGCGTCACAAATTTGTGTTCATTGTTAGATTGTCTCATGTAGGTATATAAAAAAAATTGAAAATCATTAGATTTCTTCTAATGTTTCATTTCCCAACGATAAAAACTTAATTATTGCAACATATCAAGAATTGTTTACACAATAACCAACGAAAACATGTACCAGCCTGATGATGGATTCCATTTGTGAGATACGATTCCTCATAAATTCTTTAATTGTATAATTATTTGGATGGATTTGTGAGTAAGAAATTCTTATAAATTTAAAATTAACTATTGTATCAGAGTTTAGAATCATTAATAAAAAAATGGAGATAAATTCAGTGAAGTGCGAGTTTTGCCTTTGA